ATGTTTGTAGAATTCTTCAATTTCCTTATCATTTGCTATGGTGGCTGATGTGTAAATTTGATTAATAATTATGTTGATTTGATTTCTTTGACGGTGTATAGCTCTATTCCTATCACTGGTAGCATTGTACTTCAAGATAGATATTGAAATGTTCCTTTTGAGAGTGAAAACAATTCTACTCCCCTAGATTGTGTCAGTCCTGGCAGAGTAAACCATATGATTTTCTGATTCAAAATGGCTAATCCCAGTTCATTTCAACTAACATGCCTAGGACATCAATCTTTATACATCCCATTTCATTTTTGACGACTTCCAATTTGTCTAGATTCATACTTTGCACATTCCAATTTCTGATCATTAGTAAAATTTTGCATCGGTTTCTACTTACTTTGATTTGTGCCCCATCAGGAAATGAAGATCCAGAGAGCTCCAGTCCTAAAGGCCTTATCCATTCACATCATCATGATTGACTCTACTTTGAGAAAGCAGCTCCTTAGCAGTCACACTGCAAATGCCTTCTAACGTGGGAAGTCTATCCTCTGATAAAAGTCTACTTTCATTCATTAGGCCTTCAGTACCTGATAATATTTTGATCCAATGCCTAAGATTTTAAGCAGCTACTTCCTCCAAGGTGGGCAATTGATTCTTCTTCAAAGTCTGGAAACTCCACTGAAACCTGTTCACATTGGGCGACCCTTTTGCAGTGGTGCAGTGATGCAGTGATCCACAGAGCTCTTATCTAATTTTTGTTGAGTTCAACCAACTGGTTATTAAACTAGCACTTATAATTAGGGTAGGTGGCTATACAGCTTCCCTATGTGAAGATCAGAAATATACATTCCTTGCTCTTTTTTAGCATTCATCTGGGCAACAGAGTTTTCTAAGCACTTGCAGTAACGTTTGCTCCATCCATAGGTATAATATTTTAGATAGAAATATACTTGTAATATTTATGGATACATTTCATAAAACTCATTTTAGTTTTAAAGAAATAATACATTTTTATTTCCATGTGTTTATTACTTCAGTAAACAAACATAGAACATAAAGAGAAAATGTGCCAAACAATCAGAGTGGCACATTGTCATTTGTTTCAGCTTTGAGTTTTGCCCCAAGTTCCCACAAGATATTATGAGTGAATTATGCAATGCCTGAAAGTGTTTAAAGAGCTAAAAAAATGTCAGAACAATTACTATAAGTTTCACAGAATTTTCCTGGGGTTGTTCAAAGATGAGCATAAAATGTTCAGAGAAGAGAAGTCACCTAACTATTTCGAATACATCAAGTGCAATGATGATTGTGTCATTGGCCTACATTTAAAGGATGGGAGTCTCCTCCTACAACAAAAAGATGGGTAAGGATAAAATATACTGTGAGTGATATACTGACAAAAATGAAGAATATTACAAGTGAGGATACCAATCAAGAAGAAATATGGAAATATCTTAAATAACAGTTTCATTGTTTTTTGCCAGGTATTATTTCCAATCAATATTTAAAAACTCTTCTTATAACACAATCTAGTTTTGTGTCCCTCTTTTATTATTCTTATTTAAATACTAACTGTATGAAATAATAAACTACCTTTTGGTATATCATTTTTTTAAATATTGAAAACTGTCATTAGGACAGAAATCTGGTGATTTTAATCCCACAACTTCCCTCTTGGCATTAAAAATACCAGCCACATGGTTTTCAGCATTACAGCAACACATAAGTCACCACACTACTGTGAACAAACAGACAAATGCCCCGTGTATCCTCTACTATATCCACCCCTGTTCAGCTTGCATATCTATTTGTACATCTACTCGTGGGTATTTGTATTGGAAGACTGTGTATCTAATAAATTTACCTCTGTTGCTTTAAACTCTGTGTTCCTTTTTCTGCCTTCCATTTCCTTTATCACTTATAATTGTCCCCCTTCTTACTGCGCCCCTATTTCCCTAAGTTAATAACCTCTAGTTAGTGATCTCCCTTCCTTTCCTCTCCCACTGAGTGCAGCCATCAAAGAATGTTTCTTTTTTTTTTGGATTTAAGGACATTTTATGTAAACATTTCAAATGTTCATTTAAATTCACAATTTCTGTTGGCCTTTCACCCAAAGAGAAATATACTTCAGATTTCTTCAATTTGCTATTTATAAGCAACTATGATTTCATCTTGTTTACCCCATCACATGCGACAACTAGCTTTTTGAGTATAGTACACAAAACTTCTTAAAATA